TTTTTTTTTTTTTTTACAATTTAGATAAGGTTTTTATTAGTTTTGTAAGTTTGATAAGGGTCTTACTGTAATTTATTATCTGATGTAATTTTTATATTCTATAATTGTTATGCGCACTTGATCATATGTATATGGAATTTGCGCACTACCAATATTAAACTATTATTATTATTATTATTATAAATCAATTATCATAACTTAACCAGATTTGGGGCAAAAAATGCATTCTGGCTCCTGATTGGTCGGCTGATAAACTCTAGTTTGTTTTGAAACAATTTGCAAACTATCATAAGATGTCTTTTTAAAGCAAGCAACTGACATGGACGAAGTTCTATCAAATATTTTGAGCAATTTTTCGTCTATTTTTAAGGAAGGAGAAAATTCAATCCCTCCTGGTAGCCCATCATTGAGAAAGCTTACAGTGACTTTCCTCGCTTCAGAATGGAGATCAAGCAGAGATGGTCTCTCGGACATAAAAAGGGAACTGGCGGAGAACATGGCGAAAGATCCCAAGGTTCAGGTAATTTTTTTTGTACCAAAATGCGATGATGAAGACAAGGAAGAAGCTAAAATTCAAGGCGTCCAACTTGTTGAGGCTGGAAACAATCCAGTTTGTGATGGACTGACTTGCCTTAATTTTCTACCAGTAAATTCCCCAATTGACGTGGTCGTGGGACATGGCATTGAGCTCGCGGGTCCAGCACAATTCATAAAGTGGCTCCACAAGTGTAAATGGGTCCAGATTGTCCATGAAGCCCATGAAGAAATAGGAGTGTTTAAGGAGTGCTCAAATCCAATAACGAATGCACAGAAAAAGCATGAATTAGAAGTTAAACTTTGTAAAGAGTCGGATTTTGTCGTAACAATTGGACCCAAGCTAACTGAAACTTTTCGACGATCTTGTGAGAAAGATGAATGTTTCTTTGAGTTCACTCCTGGAATTCTGGCCGAGTTTTCTGGTCTGAAACAAGATCTCAAGGAAAGGAAAATATTTAGAGTTCTGTGCTTTGTGTGCGGTGATCCAGAGGACTTTAAACTTAAAGGATTAGACATTGTAGCAGGTGCTGTTGCTAAATTGAATGATTGTCACCTCGTATTTGTCAGTTTAGTGGATGATAAATTAAAATTTAAGCTAGAAGATACAAAACAACGTCTCCTCGAATGTGGTTTACCTCATTACCAGTTAAGGTTGCGAGGCCTTTTGGATTGCCGGAGAAGTTTAGAAAAGGAGCTTCTTGAAGCAGATCTTGCGGTTATGCCTTCGAGGGTAGAAGGCTTTGGTGTAATCGGTCTTCAAGCCTTGTCAGCTGGTCTACCCATCCTTGTTGGTCGAAACTCGGGATTGGGAGAAGCTTTGATGAAAGTTAAATTTGGCTCGTTTTTTGTTGTTGATTCAGAGGATCCTGAAGTATGGGCCAAAGCAATTAAGAATGCCTGCCACAAAGATAGGACCATGAGGCTGCAGGAATGTGAAATGTTGCGTGAGCTTTACAAAGAGGTGTATAGCTGGGAGGAGCAAATTGAATCTCTTATCAACAAATTCAACAAATTGATCATCAACTCCCCTTCAGGTATGTTACTTTTATTCATGCTGTCATTATGAGAGCAGTATCCTGGCTAATGTATTATACATCATGTATTATCTCAAAGGAATTGTTACCAATGTGGCCTATATTTGATATTCAATTATTAATCTAAGGTGGAGGTGCGGTGGTCTCATGGTTTAAGTGCGCTCGACTCCGGATCGAGTGGTCCGGGTTCGAGCCCTGGCTGGGGACATTGTGTAGTGTCCTTGGGCGAGTCACTATCATAAACGATTAATCTAGACATCGTTAAGAAAAAGTTGACTTTTCTCATTTTCGGATAGCGCATACCTTTTTTGTTCGACACTTCAATTATTGTTTATCTTTGGTGTGTGGGAATTGAAGTTAGCTTTTCGCGGCACTCGCCATCTGGTAGTAGAGCGAGGTTCTTTCAAGAAGATTTGACTTATTTAGCTGGATTTTGCGATGAATTTTGGAATGAAAACCGGAATGGCCGAACGACCAAAGAAAGACAAGGGGAAGTACAAAGGCGCTTATACAAGAACAAAAACAAAATTACTGATGACCTTGGAGGGAGGAATGGCTTCAAAAATGCAGGCGATGGAAAATTTGAGTCTTCTTTCTGCTGTATTTGAGGATGTAGTTTGTGCTGTCGAAAATTTAGAAGCACATTACGAGGATATTGGCGATTCGGTGAGGCTTAGCACCGTAGCGAATGAGTTGAAAGGTTTGGTAAAAGATTATAGTGACATTGAAGGAGTGGTCAAGGGATACCTAAGCGGCAGTCCGAGTCGCAATAGTACCTTAAACGGTTCCAGAACCACGCCAACTGGACAATTTGCGATTAAGGATCAGCCAGAATGGCTCGAAGAGGAGATCAGCAAGCGAGAACAAGAACTGAAGCAAGTTGTGGACATCGTGGAGAAAACCTACGAAGAGTGTCACAAAAAGCTAGAGGAGAGACTTTCAAAGGAACAACTAGCAAAAGATGAATATCTAGGAGGTAAGAAAGTTGTTGTGGACAGGCCATGAGCGAGTGAGAGATCTTGTGGGACAAAGAAAGAAAGTTAAAGGTATGACAGTTCCAGAACAACCATTAAAGTGCACATGACTCGAAATTTTCCCCCTCTTTTTTTCTCTTACTTTAAAAAATATATGTTATGAGAAGTATTTCAGCGAAAAAAAGTAAGTCAAAACGTTTCAAGAACACATTTTAAAATGCCATTAAGGTTCGCGTTTGGAGATGTTTACACAACCGAATACAAAAGTTCAGGAGATTGGAAGTGTCATAAAGCCTGCTTAGCCTTATCGAGGCCCTTGTGTGAACATCTCCAAAGGTATCTTTTCTTATTCTCTGTTTTACCAGCAATTCACTACATTTGAAGCGTGGAATCTCTTCTGCAGTTTCGCTGCCAGGTGACCCTCTTCGTATAAGCTGAGGAAGCTTAAACTTTCGAAAAACCGACATAGTTGAATTTTTTACCGCTCCATCTCAACATGTGGCTTAAGTTTTGCGCAAAAATGTTTCCCTCGGCCGCACGTGCGATAGTCGGCCTTCGACCT